CTGAAGAATGGATAAAGAAAATGTGATACATATACACAATGGAGTACTACTCAGCAGTAAAAAAAAAAAAAAAAAAAAAAAAACCAACAATGACATCATGAAATTTACAGGCAAATGTATGGAACTAGAAAATATGATCCTGAGTGAGGTAACCCAGACTCAGAAAGACAAACATGGTATGTATTCACTCATAAGTAGATACTAGAAGTAAAGCAAAGGATAACCAGACTACCACCCACAGCTCCAGAGAAGCTAACTAATAAGGAGGATCCTAAGAGGGACACATGGAATGTCCAGGGAAGGGGAAATGAATGAGCTCTCTATGAGTAAACTGGGGGTGACAGTGGGGGTAATAGAGGGTAGGGGATGGGGGAATGAGAGCATGGGAGAATGGGATGGTCAAGCTGGAGTAGGGGTAGAGTAGGAGAGCAATGAAGGAGATATCTTGATAGAGGGAGACATCATGGGTATAGGGAGAAACCTAGTGTGAGGGAAGTTCCCAGGAATCCACAGGGATGACCCCAGTTTAGACTACTAGCAGTGGTGGAGGGGGTACCTGAGCTGGCCTACTCCACTGATCAGATTGGTGAATGCCGGAACTGTCATCATAGAGCCTTCATCCAGTAACTGATGAAAACAGATGCAGAGAGCCACAGCCAAGCACCAGGCTGAGCTCCTGAAGTCCAGTCGAAGAGAGGGAAGAGGGATGCTATGAGCAAGGGGCATCAAGACCATGATGGAGAAAGCTACAGATACAACTGAACCAAGCCAGTGGGAACTCATGAACTTTGGACTGGCAGCTGTGGAGCCTGCATGGGACTGGACTGGGCCCTCTGCATGGGTGCGACAGTTGTGGATCTTGGTCTGTTTGTGGGGCCCCTGATAGTGGAAATAGGATCTATCCCTGGTGCATGAACTGGATTTTTGGAGCCCAGTGCCCATGGTGGGACACCTTGTACAGCCTTGATGCAGTGGGAGGGGCTTGGACCTGCCTCAGCTGAATGTGCCGGGCTTTCCTGACTCCCCATGGGAAGCCATACGTTTTCGGAGTCGGGGATGGAGATGGGCTGGGGGGATTCTGGGAAGGGGAGCAGGAGGAGGGATGAGGGAGGGATCTGTGGTTGGTATGTGGAATGAATACAAAATTTCTTAATAAAAAAAAAAGAATAAAAACATAATATCTCAAAGTTAAGTTATCCAGCAATGGTGTTATTTGAGTGTTGGAAAATATTACCAAGGAAAGTTGTAGAATACACTATAATAAATACTATAAATGCTGGAGGTAATTTTTATGTGGCCTATGAGTATAAGCGTTGTGAAATACCATAATCAGAGTATGGCATGTTTGTTGCTGTCTTAAAATCATATTCCCTACCAAAGACCATCAGAAGACTGTGCATACTAACACTCCTTCTTGGATGAGGGGGGGGGGCTCAGTAGATGATGCTCAAGTTTCTGCCCCTTTATGAAGGTTTATTATATGTTATCAATTGTTGGTGGGTTAGGTTCTTATTTTGTAGCATAGCTACTCTAAAGTTGCCCATATTCATGTAGGAAAGCCCTCATCCATCCTCCTATAAGTAATCCTAGTTAAACTCTCTGGTTCACCAAGCTAGACCAGATACTATACATGGACAGGTCTAGGACACTGGTGAACTTTGCTTCGCCTACTTTAAATCCACTCTTTCTCTCTTCCTGGATTAACAGAATCTTCTCAATTTTACAATATTTCACATGTGTGTGTAGTTGGGGTTTTTTTTGTTTTTTTTTTTTTTACTCTATGGGGGCCCTGCCACCCAGGTCCCAAATAAATACACGGAGACTTATTCTTACTTATAAATGCCTGGCCTTAGCTTGGCTTGTTTCTAGCCAGCTCTTCTAACTAAAATTATCCCATTTCTCTTTAACTACATTTTGCCTCTGGGCTTTTTACCTTTCTTTATTCTATATATCTTTCTTTCCTTCTTACTCCATGGATGGCTGTGTGGCTATGTGGCTGGCCCCTGGTGTCCTCTCTCCTCCTTTTCTCCCTCCTCCTCTTCTCTCAAGCCTAGATTTCTCTCTGCCTGGCAGTCCCACCTATCCCTCTCCTGCCTAACTATTGGTCATTCAGCTCTCTATTAGACCAATTGGGGTGTTTTAGACAGGCAAAGTAACATAGCTTTACAGAGTTAAACAAATGCAACATTAAAGAATGCAACACATCTTTGCATCATTAAAAAAATATTCCACTGCATACACAAATGTAACATATCTTCAACTAATACTCCACAGCATGTATTTACTGTAATAATAGTACTATATGTGCTATGCCTTAGGTCTTGATTCATCAGTATACACAGGAGTCTACCTAATGAAGCACAGCACTCATAATCTGCCTCTCTAGACTCCTATTCCTTCTCCTGGGACAGGCACCTGATTTGAGTACTTGATACTAACCACCCACGGCAACTCCTCTTCCTGCTGACTCTGAAAGCACAGATATGTCCAAGGCTTCTTGAATTTCTCCTGGCATGGATCCACGTTTGGTTGAACTTGAACTTCATGACAAAATTAGGATCCTACTGTTACTGCTAATCTGTGGGAAGTTAAATGGTTCTGGCAAAGAAGGGGCTTAGGTAAGATGGGATGCAAAGTTACCAGGGGTAAGCAAGATGGTGTGTAGGGATTGGTCAGTAAGGCAAGTCAGTTCCTGGGTTGAAGACCACTCCCACAAGATGAAGGACACTAGCGCAAGTCATGGAAGCCATGCTGTCCGAGTGAAAGCATCATCTCTGACAGGGAAGGCCTTCAGGCATCTTACCCGGCATCCCCATCAACTTTACAAAAGCTTCCTTAGTTCCCAGAAGAAGTAGGACCCAGACTAAAGCCTCCATGAAGAAGAGAGCACTGAGGAACACAAACTTTGAAGAGGCAACATAACCACAAAAATTTTAATGGTTTATCTAGTTTCATTTTATGTGCATTGGTATTTTGCCTGTGTGAGGGTGTCGAATCCCCTGGAGCTGCAGTTATAGACAGTTGTGGGCTGTCATGTGGGTGCTGGAAATTGAACCCAGTTTCTCTGGAAGAGCAACCAGTGGTCTTAACTGCTGAGCCATCTCTCCAGCCTTACAAAAAGTTTTCTTAATTTTCAGCAATAGAACCATTGAGTATGATAGAATATGAGACTATCACAACAGATTATGTCATCAAAACCTTCTTTTTTCCTTTGGATTATCAAAACACCCATTTCCATTTTATGAATGCACTCCTCTTATAAATATATGCTTAGTATGAATTGTGTGCTACCTATGACTATAAGCAATTATAGAAAATAGTTCTATGATTCTCATCAAAACATCTTTGAGTTTAATGGCATGGGATTCCTTTCTATATATGAGGAAACTGACTCCGTGAAGTACAAGGTCACAAAGCTAAAATAAAAAAAAATCATCTAATTGCAAAATTGATTTCTGACCCAAAATATGGTGCTTTTTGATGATGCATGGACAGCATTGAATGAAGTTTTACAATAGGAGACAAATTGGCATTATTTTGATTATGTGTTGAGGGAGGCCCACCGTTGCCACCCCTGTTAGACATCACAGCTCTTCCAGTGAGCCACTGCATGCTGGCATATTTCTAATCACTGCTACATTTACTGATACTTAACTTCCAAAAGAAGTTCGCTCATGTTTGCATTCAAATATTTCAGTGGTTATGTTAAAAATGGAATGGTATGTATCAAGATACATATCATGGGATATGGGGGAAGGTTAACATACTGAATGACCCACATCATTATAAAGTCTCCAAGGCATACATGGTTATGAAAAATTATGACAAACGCATGCAATCCAATAGAAACTCTCTATTATATACAACCAGCAAAATGACTTTGGGGAAAAAAATAAGTCACCAGTGGCGGAGACAACTTCACAATATTTGTGAAGGGTGAAGATGATTATAGAAATGTGTGAATTGTTAACAAGCGAGGGAATGAAGTAGAATTAAATTCAATCTAACATTTGAAAGTGTTTTCCCCGTTTCCGTTCTTTTACCAACTATATGAGCATCCATTTTGTCCTCTGCATCTTCTAGTTATTGAGAACCTAACTTCAGGAAAAAAAATGAATCCAAAATGGACTAAACACTTAAATGTAATATCTGACATCATAACACCACTATTTGGAAGAAAAGAACATAGGGAGAAATGACTTGGATATTTGTATGAGAATTAACTTTTTGGATATGATATTAAAAGCATAGTCTATGAATGCAAAGAAAGACAAATGAGATACTTCAACACTTTCTTCAGGGAAAAGAAACAAAATAGTAAAAGGTGCTATGAGATTGCAATATTTGCAAATCCCATATGTGATAAGGACTTAATTGTGAAAATATTAAATCATAACTGTTCTCACAGAACATATACAAAGAGAATAAATGAAAATATCTACTGCTTTGTTAATGTTCTGTACAGAAAAACAAGTTGAAATTAATATTGCAAAACACCAAATGAATTTGAAATTAAAATAATTAGTAACAGCTACTATCACAGAAGATGAATTCACATTTATTTGGCTATTGATTACAAGTTTTGGTGGACAAAATAATTGCAACAGTTATTTCATTAAGTTTTAATCCACAGAGAGCTGTTCAAGTTTGCTTTTATTCTGTGTAATTACAGTGTTTTCAGATTCTTCACATATTGTTAGTGCCATCACTGGATCTTATTTAGACTAATTGTTTTTTGTTTTTTGGTTTTTTTTAGACTAATTGTTTTTATTAACGGTTTTATGCATTCTTATAATTGATTCATGTAATGATGTAATATCTTCAATGCTACAAAAACTGTGGAAAAAGTACATGTGAATGTTCATCCCATAATTGACAAAGTATCTAACATATTTGTGAAGGCATGACAGATCAATGAGAATTATTTCATTATGTATAATTTGATTGATGTGTAAAATTCGCACAAGATATAGCCAAATAAGACATAATTAGAAAGACATCTAGTTATTTTCTTTCTTCTGTTCCTGTGCTTTTTCCTCTTCTTCATGTTTATCATCATCGTCGTCATCGTCGTCATCACCTGTATCCATGATCCAATAACAATCTTTAAACATGTTTGATGTAGGAGTAGAACATTCATAACCCCATCTCCTCTTCATAAACATCTGCTCCAGGGTGCTTGGTGTAGTTTCTTCCTTGCTTATGAAGTATCTCCAGTCAGTTGGTTCATAAGCTTCTCCAGCGATTTCTGGATTACCAATGTTTTCACCTTGAAGTTCAAGTTCATTGGAATCTGTTACAGAGTCTTCATTTTCTAGGGTTTTCAACCGGTGATTTTTCAGGTATGATGATGATTCATACCTAATCTCCTTGCTGGATTTATGAGGATCGTGTTGTTTTTGGAGTTTTGTATCGAAGTTGGAGTCCTGTTTGGAGAGTCTGATGTCCTTCCCTTTGCTCGTTTTCTTGCCATACTTGAGATCAAATGTGGGCGGATCCGTTTTCTTGGCAGATGATTCTTCGTAGCTCGGTTGATTTTCATATCCCGTGTCAGTTTGTTTCATGGCATCTCGGTGGTGTTCAGCCCAGTCACGGACGTCATCCCCTCCTTTGTATATGTACTTGTAATAAATAGAGCTAAGCATATCCTGGCCCCTGGGTTTGCCGTCATGGAGCCAAGTGCCTTCGCATGACCAGGGAAGCTTGTGAGGCTCCAGATCTAATTTGCCTTGGGACTGTTTGCAGGTGTTGGTGGGCTGCTTGGTTGCTTCCCTGTAATCTTCCCAATATGGCCACTTGTACTCCAGAATCCTGTTAGGTCTTGGTGTTTCCAGCATTTTGATTAATATGTCTGCGGAATTCTCTTCTCCTCGAGGCCAGGGAGTCAGCAGATTCTGATTCTGGCGGAAACCTATGTCGTCCCAGAAGGTTCTTCGTGTTTGCTGGACCGGCAAAAGTGGATGATACACTCCCGAGTCATCGATCTGCTTTCTCGGGCTCTTGTTGGCAACCGGACTGGGCATTCCACGAAAAATCGTAGGGAAAATGGTACCCTCCATGCTGCGCGGGGTCAGCTCTTCACTTGCTGTCCCGACTTTCCTGAAGTCATCTGGCCGTTCCTTAACAGAGGGTCGGTGCTGGCCCTCCACAGAGGTGGGCAACCTCAGCGGCTCTTTCCTGTGCTTTAAGAAACACTTGGAAGAGTCCTTCCACACAGACTTGCCAGTAGTGTCTTGAGATATTGGCTTTATTGTCCGCCGGGCCTGGTTTCCTGGCATCCTGTGATCTCCCATATTCCTGACTGTGGGGCCACTACCTCAACTTCAGGAATTTGTTTTGTTGCGGCTACTCAGTTGCTAGGAGATCTGGATTGAATATCTAGGATTCTACTGTGACATGCAAGTGAGTGTCCCACCAGCAGTCTCCTCCATTCTGTTCTACATAGTGTGAACAACAACAACAAAAAAAACATGCTTTATTTATCGGTCTTTTTCATGGACTTTCAGGTTGTTCCTGTCTTGACCTATATTTCAAAGGAAGTTTCTATGGAAATGTGTATTCAATATTATTTTAATATTTACTTAAAACCATATACAATACACATAAGTGTGTGTGTGTGTGCGTGTGCATGCCTGCCTGTGTGCCTGCCTGTGTGCCTGCATGCGTGCGTGTGTGTGTGTGTGCGTGTGTGTGTGTGTGTGTGTGTGTGTGTTAAAGGAAGTTGAGGACTGGGCTGGCAATGCTCCCCTCAAGAATGATAGATTAGCAAAACCCCAAGAGTGGGCACCAGAAACCTCCTTTTGAATGGTTGTTCAGATAAGTACAAGTAACTCCCTATACAAAATAGATTGTAGACAACCTCTTGCCTCTCAGGGGTTGAGGGTAGGCCCCTGTTGCTGAAGACATCATACACTTAGGATGCATGACTAAGATGATTTGACCTGGATCTCGCCAGAAACCTCTTTCCTACAGTCTAGCTTGCATGGTTCCAGAAAATACAGTGCCAAGTGCCTAGGGAAGGAAGGAAGCAGTTATACATCTTCCACCCAGCTGCAACGCTCGTGAACCATGACAATTACCAGCATGGCAAGCTAGGCATAAAGGTGCAGTGATTGGCACTCACTGTTCTGTGGCAACTGACAGCTCTCTCATTGACTTAAGGGCCACTCAGCAGGAGGGAAATCATGCATGGTACTGGAAATCCAGCCAGCTTCCCAGAATAGTAAGGTCATAGACCTTAGAAAAGAATCTACTTTACTAGAACAGCACAGTTCCTTACTACATTCTAAACGTTACCCTTATACCCACAGATAAATACAGCTACCACTTTTCATCAAAGCAGCCTCTCTCTACAGCAAATGGAGAGCACCACAGAAAACTACAACTAGGCACAATGTAGATATCATCAGATGATGGGGAGCATCTGTGGCTCAGAAAACATCAAGAAGGAGGGGGCAGAAAGTTTGTAAGAGCCAGAGGACCAGGAAGTCTGCTGTGAAACAGTCTCTCCTAGAAATGGCTGCATAAACAACCAGAACAACGGCAATATCATGTTAACATGGAAAGAGGGAGATTCATGGGGAATCACACTTAACACCAGCAGATGCCCTTGTAGCACAAGGCTTGAGACAAGGCCTAGAGATGAACGAGCCGAGAAAGGCTGTTTCTGGGTATTGTACCTTGATATATCCACATTACAATATAGCTTGGTGCATATATTTAATGCATTAGCGATTCCTCACATGGGGCACCAAAATGTGGCCGGTTTGAATGCATTAATAATAAACTCGGAGTCACCAATAATGCATCCATGTTCCATTAAAGACAGAAATCAAAGCACTTCACTTTGGTGTTAACCAAGAACCAGCCAGATTTGAATTCTCTACATTGTTTTCCCTGTGTCTCCTGTCATTCCTGTCTGTCTGTTGAATTAGTGTGAAACTGTGCCTGCCTGAATGGTATCTTGTAATTCTGTCTCTGTCCCTGTGTGTGTGTCCATCCCTGTGTGTGTCCCCAACAAAGAGCTTTGCTCATTCTGTTATTGAACAGCACAGAAATCACCACTTGTGGAAGGAATGAGAGATACTTTACAGAAATCTTTAACAGAGCTTTGTAAGAGATTAAGTCACTGACTCCAATTGATCCCAACTTACCCAGATAACAAATAGTACTACAAACACCATTGTTTAACAAGTAATATCCATGTTACTTTCAGCATTAGTGGTGAATGTTCATCTTACAAGATTTTTTCAAACTTTATTTTCTGTTTTCAGTAAATATTTATCACAATACATGCCCAAACACTCAGGCATTACTCTTGGGCCGGGGGAATGGAAGAGTATGTAACTTAAGATCACAGCTATCTATTATCTTGGGTTGAAAAAGTTGGTTACATGGGAAATCCAAGGCAAGTAAGGTTGGCTGCTACATTTTTCCCTTAAAAGCAGGTTAAACAACAAGCTGAGTGTACAGTAGGATAGCAGTCTTAAGTCTTAAGTGACCTCAAGGTATATTTATTATTAACCATGGTAGTGAAGTCCAGCAAAAGTTCCAGTCTGTAAGAGACTTTTTCATCAAAATATTTCATCGTCTCATCTTGATAGTATTTAATAAGCTGACTTGATCCCATGAATGTTTTCAGTATAGTAAAATACAGTGGCATTTTACCTTTCACTCTGTTGTGAATTCGCATTATACCACAATAAAAAGTCAAACTGTATAAAACAGCATATTTCATCTTTTGGGACTGCTGTAACAAGATAGGAGCAACTGAGCAACTACCAAAACCCAGAATTTGATTCTCACAGTTGTGGAGTCTGTGAAGTGCATGATGGGAGAACTGGCATATTTGATGTCTGATGGAGGGCTGCTTCTTGGGACACGGTGACTTCTCTTTTCACTCTTGCATGGAAGGTACTGGTGAGATATGTTTCTGCTGCAGCCCCCACAGACCTGGTTTCATCTCTCATCTCCTGACACTCATGGATGAGCCCCTGCGTCACCACACAAGGCGGTGGCAGGATTGATGGTGGTGAGTTTTGTAAACCTGACACTGGAGTGAGCCAGGAGTAGGGCCTGTGGGGGGGGGGGGGGGGTCTCAACTGTGTTGTGGGATGCTGAGTATGAGATCTTGGCCCAGAGTTAACTTGTTTGCCTTCTTTCATTGAACCAGCAGTAACTGCCACAACTCTTAAACAGGTGGTCATCCTGCGCCACAGGGTCCAGTTCTTTGGACAGGTTTGTCACGGGGCATTTCCATGACCCCAAAGTTTGGGTTAAACCCCCTTTGTCTTTTGTTTAGTCTCAATCCAGATTAGGGGCTCAGTAACACACACACACACACACACACACACACACACACACACACACTTTGTGCTGGTGTATAGAGGCCTTGCTGTTTCCACAAACTCTGGTACCCAGAGGCAGCAATATCCAGCTGCACCTAGGAACGCTGGAACCTCTTAGTCTTTGGAGTTGGGATCTGAGGATGGCAGCAACCCTATTCTGAGACAGGCTCCTTTTGTCTCCCCTCAGTTAGGTAGCCAAGATAGGTAGCCGTCTACAAAGTTGGGCTTTCTTAGATGACATTTTGTAGCCCATGGTCTGTAACTCTTGCAGCAGTCCCTCTGTGGTCCTTTTATAATCTATTTTCCAGGAAACCTCTGACAGAAGGGCAGGAAGTCTGCATTTAGTGTCTTTAAATCCTGGGACAACCTGGTCTAAGTATGTTGCCCACTATAACCTCCTACTGGGTCTGTCCATTTAGAAACAAAGATGGGTTGATGTGAGAGTCAAATTTTAAGTCTTAATTACCATGCCTAAGAAATTCATGAAACAAAAATGCCTCTGATCTGCAAGCCCCTTACCCAAGGACAGATAGTTCCTGAAATTCTGGCGGCTATTGTTTATGGGAGATAACAAGGCACATGTCTTCACTCCCCTAAACAAATCTGTTTGGCCCATCTGCACGGGGTGTGCTTGATCACATGTGGGCAGGAAGTATGTGGGCAGGAAATATGTCAGGATGTACCCTTGACCCTGATTGGATATAGGCAAGAGGCATGTAGGCAAGAAGTACATCAGGATGTTTGCTTGCCCCTGACTGGACCTTTGTGAGAAATGTGGTGAATTATGGATTTTGCCTTTTTAAGCCCCTGCAAAATGTGGTTTGGGGCCATTTTCTTGGAAACAAGAGATGGATTTAGCCAGAGAGTACATCAACTTGGCCAGTATTTAATTAAAGCTTGCTTCAAATTTGGCTTTAAACTGTGGTAGTGGTCTTATTCACAACCGATGGGATTAACATTGACTCACTTCTGCCAATGGGAAGCTGAAGAATGCATCTTTCAGATCCAAGACAGCATACACCTGTTTCTCTAGAAGAACCAGACTCATGAGAATCAGAGGTCCCAGGTTTTTTCACAAGTGGGAGAGGTGTATACCTGGGAAACTGACAGGGCACCAGGATGCCTGTCTCTTCAAGCCAGGCAACATGGACTGCAATTTCCCTTTTGTGTCCAGGGTCATTGGGTACTGTTTAATATGGACGGGGTAGCTGGACTGGTAGGAACTTAGTGTTGGGGAGTCCTGGGGGGGTTAGTGTCTGCCCTTACCCCTGGGAATCTTTGTTGTCAGTCTGAGAGACAGCCCAACCGTATCTTTTGATTGGAGGCACAACTATCAGTTAGGAGATAGTCTCTGACAGAGGGTGGAACACCAAAATTTTGCTGGCTATCTGTAAGTCTAACCATGTCTCATCATCAGAGAAGGTGACGGCAGCTTTCAGTTTAGGCAAAACGCCTTGTCCCAATCAGTTCTCTGCTATTAAACATCTTTGAGCTACCTCAGGCAACTGGGACCTGCTTATACCTTGAATTTTTTAACTTTTGTAACTTATTTTAATATCTGGGGCTGACTGGGAAATGAAGGAAACTTTCAGCAGCTGTCTTTAATCTTTTAAAAAGGACCTGGTGAATATTGCTTTAAGTCTCCATGGTCGGTATTGGACAGAAGGGAAAATTCCTTCTGCCCAAGCTGTGTTGCCTGGCAGCAACACCCCTGCCCACCTGGCCAGCCCAGGGGCTGTTTGTTTTGTTGTTGTTGTTGTTGTTGCTGCTGCTGCTGCTGCTGCTGTTTTAATTTTTCTTTCAGAGAATGGTGGGGTTTACAGATCATTGATTGAAAAATAGATATAAATCTTGATAGAGAAGACAGTGGAACTTCCTCTTTTCCTTCCTGCTCACCCCAGGGGACCTTTGCCCCTTCCCTGGGGTTCCTCAGAGCAGGCACAGAG